TTTTGTAATCCAAAAATGTATGGAACCTACATGACAAGATTCAGATATTTATACGATTGAAGTCAAGCCTTTGAAATGGATATATTCTGTCTATAACACGTGACGACTAGAATGACAACACTCAACCAGATCCGTCTTTCAACCAATGTTCAAAGCAAAAGTAGAGATTTTCTGACTGACGGCAAGTGACTATTTTGTCTGTATTTCAATGAAAATGTATCAATAATATATTTATAATATGTATTTACTCATGTTGTGTATGTGTATGTCATTAATGAAATGAGTAAATATGGTACATATTCAGTGCACCCTTGTCTTATGTATGGAGCAACAAGAAGTGATCACGTGACTTGATTCAAGATGTCTAAAAGTCGAAATACTTACAACGAACTACAGTTATGACGAACTAAAAGTGGTCGCATTGAGTTCGTTATAACCGTAGCTTACTGCATTCACAAACGAATGTAATATGTCGTGATAAGCGATCCCTGAATTGTGTTTAGTGGAAAATGAATAACGATAATAATTTCATTTTGAAATCTAAAGAGAAAAGATGAAACATCAATGTATAGAATCAGTGAGTCAGTTTCAGCCAGGCTACCATTTTCAGCCGATGATACTATGCAGTTATATTCTGCCTCTTGCATTGGCAAACTGCTCCAGGTCACGACACATAGTGATGGGTTCACCATTCCGTCCTATATTGTGCCATGCCTATTCATGTATGTACGTTCCATTACATGGGCAGATATTCAGTCTTTAATCACAGCTTGGTTGATTTCTCTTTTAAAGAATGCATGAGTTCAGTATTGGGACTTACGTTACACATGCTCGTACAGGCCTTTATCATCACACATGGCAGGTTCCTGTGCGACTCGCTTCGGGCTCTCGATCAATATGACAGGCGAATCCACTGTACTTGTATCGTAATGCCGTGTCATGAATACTTACATGTGGAAATCAATTGAACTCCGAGTATTAGAACGTCTCCCGCTTATGTATTTATATATGCTGTGATCTTTCTTGAATGAGTTTGCCTTGTGTTTAGTGTTTGCTATGATCGACATTGGCACTAAATTGGTCTCATATGTTTAGGCTTTGATATGATCGATCTGAATACGGAGTTGGCCTATGTACATTTTTATATTTTGTAATGATTTTTATAGTACTGAGTTGGCTCTGTGTGTTTAATTAAATTTGTGTAATAAACATGATTAGTACATCGTTGGCCTTGTGTTCAGATTTTGCTATTGTTGTTCTCAGTACTGAGTTGGCCCTGTGTATTTAATTTGTTATAATCATGATTTGTACCGTGTCGTCATTGTGTGTTTAGACGGTGCTATTGTAGTTCTTTGTACGGTCGGTTGGTTGGTTGTTTAACGCCGCACTCAGCAATATTCCAGCTATATGACGGCGGTCTGTAAATAATCGAGTCTGGACCAGACAATCCAGTGATTGATAGCATGAGCATCGATCCACTCAATTGGGATCGATGACATACATCAACCAAGTCAGCGAGTCTCACCACCCGATCCCGTTTGTCGCCTCTAACGACAAGCATAGTCGCCATTTACGGCAAGCATGGGTTGCTGAAGACCTATTCTACCCCGGATCTTCACGGGTCTCTTTGTACGGAGTTGGCCTTCTGTATTTAGATAATTTTATGATTCATCCAAGTGTTGACTTGGCCAGGTGTATGTAGATTCTAGTAAGATCATCCTAAGTACCGAGTTGGCCTTACAAGTTTAGATAATGCTATGATCGATATCAGTACTGATCTTGCCATGTGTAGTTACAGATTATGGTCGTCATTGGCAGTTGGTCGTGTGAATACAGACATGATATGTTAACTGGATCAATGCCCACTTGTAACATGCGATCTTAGTGCTACGAGTATTATAAGTCATGGGAGTTGCGATCATCGTAGCGATGAGGTCGCTTTGTGAAAGTGATCCCAGGTCTTGTTAATTCACAATGACATGCTTGTATCTTGATATTGTGTAATTTAGGACTGAAACACAAGGAATAACTCCGTCTCGGTGTGTACTGAAACTAATCTGTCAATGCAACATTGTACCCCTCTTTACCCAAATGAGAAGGGATCCAGATGTTGTTCCATGTGGAAATCGAACCTGTCTTCTGAGTGACAAATGAGCACCATAATCACTAGGCTACCCAACAGCCCTCCTTATAGTGATAGTTTGTCCCCACAGTCCATGAACTACTAGTTTCCCTTCCGCCCAGCCCTTACTGTAATGCTATAGCGCCAAATGAAGCAAGTCTAGATTTTCAACAGGTAAAAGATCTGTACCTCTCATTTCACTTGGCCTCGTTTTCAATTGAAATGAAGTTGTTCCATAATCACTAGGCTACCCAACAGCCCTCCTTATATTGATAGTTTGTCCCCACAGTCCATGAACTACAAGTTTCCCTTCAGTCCAGCCCTTACTGTAATGCTATAGCGCCAAATGAAGCAAGTCTAGATTTTCAACAGGTAAAAGATCTGTACCTCTCATTTCACTTGGCCTCGTTTTCAATTGAAATGAAGTTGTTCCATAATCACTAGGCTACCCAACAGCCCTCCTTATATTGATAGTTTGTCCCCACAGTCCATGAATTACTAGTTTCCCTTTCGTCCATCCCTTACTGTAATGCTATAGCGCCAAATGAAGCAAGTCTAGATTTTCAACAGGTAAAAGTTCTGTACCTCTCATTTCACTTGGCCTCGTTTTCAATTGAAATGAAGTTGTTCCATAATCACTAGGTTACCCAACAGCCCTCCTTATATTGATAGTTTGTCCCCACAGTCCATGAACTACTAGTTTCCCTTCAGTCCACCCCTTACTGTAATGCGATAGCGCCAAATGAAGCAAGTCTAGATATTCAACAGGTAGAAGTTCTGTACCTCTCATTTCACTTGGCCTCGTTTTCAATTGAAATGAAGTTGTTCCATAATCACTAGGTTACCCAACAGCCCTCCTTATATTGATAGTTTGTCCTCACAGTCCATGAACTACTAGTTTCCCTTCAGTCCAGCCCTTACTGTAATGCTATAGCGCCAAATGAAGCAAGTCTAGATTTTCAACAGGTAAAAGATCTGTACCTCTCATTTCACTTGGCCTCGTTTTCAATTGAAATGAAGTTGTTCCATAATCACTAGGTTACCCAACAGCCCTCCTTATATTGATAGTTTGTCCCCACAGTCCATGAACTACTAGTTTCCCTTCAGTCCACCCCTTACTGTAATGTTATAGCGCCAAATGAAGCAAGTCTAGATATTCAACAGGTAGAAGTTCTGTACCTCTCATTTCACTTGGCCTCGTTTTCAATTGAAATGAAGTTGTTCCATAATCACTAGGTTACCCAACAGCCCTCCTTATATTGATAGTTTGTCCCCACAGTCCATGAACTACTAGTTTCCCTTCAGTCCAGCCCTTACTGTAATGCTATAGCGCCAAATGAAGCAAGTCTAGATATTCAACAGGTAGAAGTTCTGTACATCTCATTTCACTTGGCCTTGTTTTCAATTGAAATGAAGTTGTTCCATAATCACTAGGCTACCCAACATCCCTCCTTATAGTGATAGTTTGTCCCCACAGTCCATGAACTACTAGTTTCCCTTCAGTCCAGCCCTTACTGTAATGCTATAGCGCCAAATGAAGCAAGTCTAGATTTTCAACAGGTAAAAGATCTGTACCTCTCATTTCACTTGGCCTCGTTTTCAATTGAAATGAAGTTGTTCCATAATCACTAGGTTATCCAACAGCCCTCCTTATATTGATAGTTTGTCCCCACAGTCCATGAACTACTAGTTTCCCTTCAGTCCAGCCCTTACTGTAATGTTATAGCGCCAAATGAAGCAAGTCTAGATATTCAACAGGTATAAGTTCTGTACCTCTCATTTCACTTGGCCTCGTTTTCAATTGAAATGAAGTTGTTCCATAATCACTAGGCTACCCAACAGCCCTCCTTATATTGATAGTTTGTCCCCACAGTCCATGAACTACTAGTTTCCCTTCTGTCCAGCCCTTACTGTAATGCTATAGCGCCAAATGAAGCAAGTCTAGATTTTCAACAGGTAAAAGATCTGTACCTCTCATTTCACTTGGCCTCGTTTTCAATTGAAATGAAGTTGTTCCATAATCACTAGGCTACCCAACAGCCCTCCTTATATTGATAGTTTGTCCCCACAGTCCATGAACTACTAGTTTCCCTTCAGTCCACCCCTTACTGTAATGCTATAGCGCCAAATGAAGCAAGTCTAGATTTTCAACAGGTAAAAGATCTGTACCTCTCATTTCACTTGGCCTCGTTTTCAATTGAAATGAAGTTGTTCCATAATCACTAGGCTACCCAACAGCCCTCCTTATATTGATAGTTTGTCCCCACAGTCCATGAACTACTAGTTTCCCTTCCGCCCAGCCCTTACTGTAATGCTATAGCGCCAAATGAAGCAAGTCTAGATTTTCAACAGGTAAAAGATCTGTACCTCTCATTTCACTTGGCCTCGTTTTCAATTGAAATGAAGTTGTTCCATAATCACTAGGCTACCCAACAGCCCTCCTTATATTGATAGTTTGTCCCCACAGTCCATGAACTACTAGTTTCCCTTCCGCCCAGCCCTTACTGTAATGCTATAGCGCCAAATGAAGCAAGTCTAGATATTCAACAGGTATAAGCTCTGTACCTCTCATTTCACTTGGCCTCGTTTTCAATTGAAATGAAGTTGTTTGTTTATAGATTTTCAGAGGCTAAGTGCTAGTCTATATTTTGATCTTCACTATGAAATTACAAGGTTTACAGAACACACCAGTCACTTTAATTTCCATTATGTGACCTTAAGTATTAACTCTCACTATTTCCTTTAAATGTGGTAGATATGTAGTCCACGCCAGAGGATGAGTGTTGTTTCCTTTCATACATTTAGTCATACAACATTTTACAGAATTCTGTATGCTATTTGCATGAACAGGTCAATACAATGCCACATAACAACACACTTTCACATGTATCTGTATTTATTTCCTTAGGTCAACTTCTGTTGGATTCGGTGGATTTTTACATGGAACAAAGTTTACAGCTAATTTGTACAAATATGCACTTCAATATGGTGAAATATATACACTATGCATTTAGGTGACATCAGAACTGCTAATAAGTTGCTAAAATACATTCTGGATCATGTCTTGGTAATAGGTGTTATAAAATAAAGATAAACAATTACAAGAACTCACACATCAATATATTTAGATGTATTAACAGGAAATGTGGTACATATCTAAAAAGTCCAACTGGTAGCTTCTTAGGTGAAAAACATGATAAGAGGAACAAAAAGATTTGATGATTACACTGATGGATAATACATTACTATGGTGATTTTGTGGCTGTAAATGTCTGACACTCATTCTACAGTAGGATTCAGGGAACCTTCATGCTTCTCCCTCTAGATACTTTCAGAATTGGCCAGAATTAAATTTAATGGTTTATCACAAACTTTTAATCCTACAGCAAATGTTCAATGGTTGTTTCAAGCAATACCTTTTACAAAGGAATATATTTCTTCTTCTGAACTATACAACTCCACTTTTGATATGGACATCTATCTTTCGATGATACGCAAAAATGATTCTCATGTCACGTTTACATTTTAATACATCTGACATATCTGATTAGCCCTATCAAAAGTTGAGTAGTATACATTTTCGACAGTAACTGCTTCACTGATAGTCCTTAAGCAGCTTCCACTTGCAGGAACAGATTCTAATCTACTAATTATTGTTTACATATAACTTCCATTTATTTTAAAGGGGACTGTGGTCTAGGTCTTGAATTTGAACTTGTGTAAGCTGAGACACTGTTGCTGTGTAATTGGCATATCCATTAAGTGCTACACATCATATACTACCCAAAACAAATTAAGGATACCCGATTCTTACATATTACCACAGTTAATTTGTCATGCCATGACATGTTAACTATAATTCTATGAAAAAAACCCAGGTGATCCTTAACTGCTTTTGAGTAGTCCCAACCAAAGGGACCTTTGAATAGCTTTAAATTAACCGAGCAGTGACGCCTTTCAAAGTAACATCATGACTGAACAATATAGTAACTTCAATCTCAGATAACGTTATAATACATTTTTTAAATATTAAAACCATCCATAAAATCTAGGATAACAGGTGAAAAAACTTTGCTTTGATTGAGAAGCTTCAAACTTTGTAAATGCTGTTTCCATTTCATACTGGTCTCATTAAATCATTGTTAATTTGAGTGATAAAACTTGGATGCAACTTCATGAGTGTTTGGCCCACATTAAAAAAAACATACATTAGGTCTCCAAAGTATGCAATTTCACATATCACATATTTTAAAAGACGACTGGCAGGATAGTCCTTTAAGTGTAATGTTATCACAGTGGTGGCAGAGACAATGTGAATGAACCTCAGAGCATGTGAAACAGCAGGAAGTGAAGATATTCTACCCTGTTCTGTGTGGTAGTCTATTGAGGAAGAGACTGCAAAGACACATGGCTAAGTGACGTGTCAAGAATTGTTGGCGCCATGCTGTGTCACAGACACTGTTGAACACTAGTGACTACATGACACGGCCACCATGTGAACATGGCATTGTCCAAATCTAAAGTCACATGATAAGAATCATGTTAAGAAAACCAAATTGTGTTGCACCTCATACACTTTGTAAAAGCATGTCCTTATTACCATCACCCTACACATGTATAATATTGTTTTGTGTGTGTCCGAGAAATGTTAAAAAAAAGGAGTGTCCTTGATTCCTAAACAACTGAAATAATCCACACACAAGGATGGTCTTAATATCTTTAATCTGTTGCTATACATGAACAAATTTCTTCAAAATTCTGATATTCCACCAGAATGGAATTCCCTGTTACCATGGTTATGGCCATCTTGACAGAAAATGAAAAGAAAGACCAGGGACTTGTGTTAATTTTTATCATTCGAGTAGAAGTGCTAAATCATCACAAAACTGCCCACGCAGTTGTCACCTTTAACAGATGAACAAGTTTGAAAAATCTCTAGGGTGCTGATCAAAAAAAGTTTATACAGACATTGTAAAAGGTTGAATGAATATGTAACAGAGGCTTTTCAGCAAGACCTACACACATACTTCATATATATATTTATATACTTATATCTACAGTCACGACATCTATTCACAATATGAAGAAGTTACCAAAAGAAAGAAGCATGATAGTGTATGTATGTGCACTTAGACAATTCATATACATATCTTACATACATACGACCGAGTGTAAATCGGATGAGAATTCTCCACAAGAAATAATTAACAATGAAAAATGCTTAAGAAGTAATGTGCATTACTAATTCCAACATACTTCAGAGCATAACACAGTTGCGAATACATTTAGTTCATGATATGACCACCAGGGTCCGTTATCAGTATGCTCCATTGTGACAACATAACAATTAGTTACGTGATTCTCTTGTTAAACACAATTTCTCTGTACACTTTGATACTGTGTAGCATAACAAAGGGAACACAATCACTGAAATCCTCAGTAACTCAGCTGCACTAAGTCCATTTTCTGCATCAAATCAAATTGAGGGAAAATAAATTGTAAAAAGACTATCATGCAATTTACCTAAATTTGCCTCGGGAAGTGAATACTTTCCGAGGCATGTGAGAGTGTCAGTTTTGCCATCCTCTTGTCTACCGACTGGACAAAGTCGTAGCTGAGATGAGTCCATTGTCCCAAACAAGGGGTGTTAGGTTATTGTAAGTTCACTCAGATCTCATAATGAGCTGTTCCCAATATGAAAGACTCCAGTTTGGCCACTTGGCCAAGTCCACTTCCATAGTCCTGTAGATATACCCTCTGGCATCCCAAGGGAACACACAAAGAGTCTGTATGTACTCCTTCCCTCACACCCTGCCCCACAAGTGAGACCCTTTTTACCATAGCACTGCTCACCATCACAGACATACTCCAACCCTTTTCACGAATGAAAAAAATTGCATATTTATACTCCAGTCATGACTTGAATGATAACAATACAGTTACGATGAACGACAACCAAACAGCTTGATCATCCTGTCTTGTATTGGCATCTGATTCCATCTGACCAGGACACCTTGCACAAATAGGCATATCCATCCACACAGAATCAGTGAGCAAATAATATCGTTAAAGGTTGATGCATATGGTTGTCTTTGTGTTAAAGATGAATGCAGTGTTCGCTCCTCTTGAATATTGGTGTAATGTTGAGTACAGAAAACAGATTCTAAAACGGGAACTTTCGGGACATTAGGGAAAATTGTTTCTAAATCAGCTGTCGTCTAGATACGATCAGAAATTTGCAATTTAATTCCCATGGAATTAAGCCTTCATCACAGATATTTGATTACACATTTTTTTCCTTTTCATTCGTACAACATTAAACTCTCCCCATGTACATTGAGTATGTATTAGAGTTAGATAATAAGTGTCACAATATATTAGATCTGAATCAAGGTAAATGTCATATTAAAGTCAGTCAAATTATGTCATTTTATCAAATGAATGCCTGAATGAAACATGTCATGAGCCAGCTACCATTGACCATGTCAATGTATTTTATTGATTTTTAGTCTCTTTCTCTTCTCAAGAGAGTGGAACCACAGTGCCGATTTTGGTTGATTCAATATTTGATTTCTTGTGATATGCAAATTTTGATGGTTTTGTTGTCTGGCGTCCATTTTTGCCAGATGAAAGGGAGATAACTCTGCCAGTGGTGGAGACAGGAACTGGATGCCAAAGGTATTGTGGGTACTGGCGGCCGGCCACCAGCTGACAGCCGATAGCTAAAGTATAACACAACAGTTGCTGCAGCCACTTTCCCCACTCTTGTCCTTCTTTAACTGGCCTGAAATAAACAAACACACTTATTACCAAACAACCAAAGGCTGACATGTTATTTAATAATTAAATATGCAATATCAGGGTCAAAAGCACCCATACAAAAATATTAACCACTTTTAGTGTGTGTGTGTGTTTTACTTTTTTTTATAAGTCAGCAACATTTCATCTGTAGATGGTACCTATGTGTAAACTTAAAGATGCTTGAAAACCAAGGCATTCAGTATTTGACAGTGATCAGATAGAAAAATCTACCAGTTTTACTCAACCTCTAGTGATCCTGACCAGGCGTTGTTAATAAAAAAAAATTAAAAAAAATATATAATGATGATGATGAGGATGATAATGACAATAATAATAACAATAGATATTCCATAATTCTATTTCTGAAATTTCAATGATTATCAATGAATATAATTTAAAAGAAATGCATGTTAACCCTTTTTTGCACCATATTTCTGTTTCAAATTAGAGAAATAATTAACAGCTCCCCTGAAATAACACCAGACCATTAGTCCACCATTCAATTCATTCCACTGGTCTTGGGGAAAATTAATGACCAGTGGGCATTCAATGGTCATTCTCTCTATTCATAACACCCTTAATGATGGCATCACCCATCACAATTGATGTGCAAGTTTATAAATAGTTGCTCAAATTGGTCAGATGGTTGTTTGATAAAGTAAGAGCGAAAGAAATATATTGTAGAAAGGATAAGATATCGCATTCAAGAAACAAGCCATAGTTGTCACAAAAGTGACCATTTTATCAAACTATGAAATTATGATATTAACCACTTATTCAAAGTCTGATCTTCCTGTATAGTAAGCTTGTTAACAGCCTACATATGAATATTAAAATCTACAGAAAATGATGACCCCAAAAAAATCAAAGTCCAGGGAAATAGACTTTTGAAATGTGAAATTACATATCTTGTACCAGTCAGGAGGAACAAAGACGCTTAAGTTGTCAGTACACAATAGATTTGTTTGTTATTTTTATGCAGGGAGAGAGTAATTATTGTTTAATGCTGCATCAACCATCTTGCAGCTATTCGCGGCAAGGTATTTTCATGCAAACGGCAGGGATAATCCAGCAGTATCGTGATAAAATCTGGGTATAACAATAAGGAAGATAACATAATCATTGTTAAAACAGCTGAAGTAAAAAATGTCAAGAAAATACAAAAAATCTTTCTAGTGTAAGTGCACCTAGCAAACCTCATTTCAGAAGCTTCCTAAAAAAAATCCATCATTATCTTCATTGAATTTAAATCTATCAAACAAATAAACATCAACCTGTGACAATGAAACAAGTCTCTTCTGAATAATGTTTTCATCCATCTATTATAATGATGATTTCCCTGATAATCGTGCAGATGACGCTGCTATTGCTGATAGGCCCCCAGCAGTGTTGCCATGGTACTTGTCTGATGTAACAACATACGGAAATAAGACATAATTCCTCCATCACCGGCAATAATCAATACGAATAATCACATGCACACGACAAATTAACGTTATTGTATTTCTCAAATTTCCTGTAGATTATCCCCAAATCGAAGCAAAACGGACATCAGGGAAATCCATCCTGATCAAAATCCCAAATCCTTCAGAGCTAAAACAGATAACATAAATGTATTTGTTCTGGAGCAGAAATTGATTTTGGAGAAAAATATTCAAAGAACATGAAGAAGGCAATCTCATTTCAAAAGCTGCTAGCGTCACAGTGCATGACATTTCTCAACCTCGCTGCTCACAGCAAACAGCACCATCGTCCCCTGCTCCATGAGTTAATAACGCCTTTACCAATAACCATACAGTACCATACACTGATGTAGTGTCGGAACCCAGCCTCTGTGGGTCCAGTTACTGCTTGAGGTATTCCTCGCAATCATCCTAATGTGACCATTAATGTCTCATGAATTTGGCTGAAAATGGTATGAATATCAAGGAACCTAAACATTGTCTGACTTTTTCCATTTGTGTCCCATCATTTACATGATAAACATCCTAAAATTGTTTTTTTGAAGCCTAAAGAAAGTAGGGGTCAGTGTGTTTCAAACATTATTTCCTTTGGACAATTTGTGATTCAGAAAAACACAGAAGTAACATCTGACATAGACAGAATTTAATTCAAAATGTGTGTGAGTGTGTGTTTTAGCTCCTTAATACCGAGAGCCAGGCACATACTATCGCTTAACGTTTTTTGGCATGAAGTAGCCAGGGATCGAACCCATGACCTTCAGCGTTCCAGGCAGACGCTCGATCCACTAGACCACAAGGGCGGTCTATGGAAGTATGAAAGAAGCAAAGCGTGTAGTGCGCACGACTGAAATGACATTGATACATATGTAACTGGGCCATTATATTTCAATAATTATAAAATCAGACCAGAATACAAGTCATTTCTGTAGACGTAAAAAATGCAAAAGACGGACGGATGACCTTGACGTATGTTACATAAAGCTCATTCCACCTATTTCTATCGGAATCAGTTCAACAATACATTAGATTAATCAGAAACAATCATACATATAATTGACCATGAAAATAATTATTACTCCATAAAAAGAATGGATTTCAAATGCTTAACAATGCTTTCACAAACCGATTTCGAACCGTTTATGGTTCAATAATTCTTCCCAGAACTGCCAACATGTTCAACCCAGTAGGCAAGTAGTCACAGTGCACCAACGGTGAACAACTATTTATAGGCCTAACATAACTTCATCAATAGGGGCCGAGACTGTTGCTGACTGATTGAGAGGGATGCTTTCCATATGAAGACAAGTGATGATGATATTCAACCAGTCCATGCCAGCAAGGCAGTAAACTAGGTCAGATAATCTAAATTCAGCTTCAGCAGTTACATCAAATCAATCCAGATCACTGGGTTTTAACATCCCACACAATATATCACTTCAACGTCACATGCTGACAAGCACATTTTTCCTCTTCATTTCCCCTTATCATTATCTCGGATTAGACAAATGAAAGCAATAAGAATTAAGATGGCAGTTTTGCAGTGTATGTTTTATGGAATTTGATTACCATACTCTGGAACACAATGGGATGGAATATTTTCAAGTGATTCTGTGTTGGAAATCAATTGCTGTTATTTCAACAATTATATGACAGTCTGTAACTGTAGCCACCAGTCACAAATCTAGGAAAGTTCTGCTCGGTCTGCTTGGTCTCATAAGCTCAGGGGAGGTGAGGGGAGGTGAGGAGAGGAGAGGAGAGGAGAGGAGAGGAGAGGAGAGGAGAGGAGAGGAGAAGGGAGGGGAGAGAGAGAGAGAGAGAGAGAGAGAGAGAGAGAGAGAGGGAGGAGAGGGGAGGGGAGGGGAAGGGAGGGGAGGGGAGAGAGAGAGAGAGAGAGGAGAGGAGAGGAGAGGAGAGAGAGAGAGAGAGAGAGAGAGAGAGAGAGAGAGAGAGAGAGAGAAGAACTACAAGGCAGCATGAAAATAGGACAGATCTTTTGTGGCAATAACAAAGTTCTAAATACATGTATTAACATTACTTAGGGACTGGTCATAATACACAAAATGATGGGTGTGTCAGCTAAATATGTTAGTCCTAGGACCAATCTCTCCACCACACCAAATAATAAATGACCAGTCCCTTACAAAGACTTTCTTCTTGAACTAAAATACAAAATATTTAAAATGACAGTTGGCTTATGTAAAGCAAGTAGTCTATACAATATCAGGAGTCAATTGTTAAATTGTTTTACAGCTTGTAGGCCAAAAATATATTTTTTACAATCCAGAATGAGATGAAACAGTGCTTTAGTCAATTTTACTATTTCTGTATGAAGTGTGTATCGTTACGAGGGAAATATTATGGTATTTTCAATTAATTGGAAATGACAGTTCATCATATGTTCTTTATACAATGAATATTGCTCCAGGTTCACTCTTTTGTTTAATTAGCAACAATTAAGTCATTTAAATTTCCCATAGAAGGCTGTGTGCTTGCCTTGTGAAACAGCCAGAACATGTTTATGAACAACCCGAAGGTATACATGATATCATCAAAAATGCAATCATTTCAATTGATATGGAGAAAGAGTTGTAGGTATATCTATTTAGTTTTCATTTTGCTGTCATTCCAAAATCGAAATTTGCTTATGTTTTGGAACTTTACCCGTGACTAACATTTTTTCTCTTGATTTCTGCCCGGATGGACATACATGTACGTCTTTGATTTCTGATAGGATTTAAGTGAGAAAAAATGTGTTTAATAACTTGGGTGTTGCAGATCATGGAATAAGATTTTCGTGCGCTACCAAAATGTTTGCATTCAAAAACATACTCGCTTTACCAATCAGGTATCAACAATGTTGCGCACCCCACCATTGTCAGATGAAGCAAAGATCCATCAGCGACATAGGAATCGGTTGTCTGCCGTTTTGTTGGATATACCGGTAATTTTTGGTATACCGGTAATATTGTGCATCTCTAGTAAAAACGCAAATTGAACTACATTTGAAGTTAACAAATGTGTCCTATCAATGAACTGTAAGGTTGAATTTGAAAGTAGTCCTGCATATATTCATAATGTAGACTCCATAGTTTCTATCGACTGTGGTTTAGGTAAGCCATAATAAGGAACCAGGAACTATTTATAGGAGGAGCATTTCATAAATCAACAGGACTTGTAAATTTCTACTCTAGTGGAGTTTGTCGGCTCACAACCTAACGTCAATATGAACACATTAACACAGGAACCCATTTGAACTTATTTCTCATATTTCATAAATGAAAATATTAGCTTTCTCCAAGATTATCTATTTTAAGAAATTGTGCAAAACGGATGAAAAAAAGAAGCTAATGATCAAAGATTTTGACATTAAAACTCAATTTCCAGGACCAATAATCAAAACAGTTTTATATCCTTTTCACCTAATCTCATCACTAATCAATATGTAAACAAATCTATTTCCAGCACTTATTTATTTTTTTATCCCAAAGCCATTTAACTTGTTTATATTGGATCCTTTTCA